GTACTGCAAGCATTACAAGAAATCAGTCTTATTATATCAAACTCCCAACACAGCTGCATGCACTAGCTGTAGAGATTATGCGGCAATAGCTGCATGGACTATAATGTTGTGATGACTGAAACATGCCATATGATAGTTTTTTTGTGAAAGACACCAGAGCACAATTTTTTAGTGGAGGAGGAGGAATATAGCCATGATGTCTTGCTAGCTATTACATTTGTGCAAAAGGAAGCATTTACATTGAGTGATGACTGAATCTGTTGGTAATGAGGTAGCTTAGATAGTTCAAGTTTGACACATTCTCAAAATGATAATAATTACTTATGAATTTGATAAAGTTGCATTCTGTGAAGAAAGTAAAAATTCAGTAATATGATGGTATTTGTGTAAATGTCCCTGGGTATAGACAGATCAACAGCCCGAGCTCATTTAATACCACTCTGTATGTAGTACTGACATGCATACCTCAAAAAATATTGTACCTCAGATGTGTTGTAACCAGAAAAAGTAGTTTCTTAGTTACTTTTAATCTTCTGACGGAGAAAATGCACTAATTAAAATTTGGTAATAAAATCTATCATACTTGATTGGTTCTATTTTACAGCATAACCTTCCTCTCACTGGCGATGGGACATTTATAGCTGCCATTGAACAGAATTTGATAGTTTTTCACTTTTTTGTCTACATTTTGTCATGTGTGCAGACTTCATCAAACTTCTGAGAAAATGTGACTCAAAGTTTTGTCCTTCAGCTGACACAGAAAGAAATTTGTATCATTTTTCATTAGATCTTATCTCCAGATGTACAGCATATTCCTAAGGCCTCAGGGTGTTGTGACCGAAGTGGTGAAGGAAATGTCGTGGGAGAAGAATAACTTTAAGGATTAAAAATCTCTTAGAAAATAACAAACTACACAACAGTACAACGACAACTACAACCATAAAATGAATAAAAAGCATGCAATATATAAGAAAGGAATCATGACGTCATTAGTTAAGTAACCTATAGGAAGAACATCATGCATGTATGAATAAGATTAACAAAAGCAGAAAAGGAATAATAATAATAATAATAATCAGTAATAATAATAATAATCATTAATAATAATAATAGTAATAATAATAACAATAATAATATTAACAGTAATCATCATAATAATAATTCTACAATATTCAAAATAATAATGCACAATTTATAACACAGGGGAGACAAAACTTCATGGATACTGTTGATCAAAATACTTCAGTTTGGAACGCAGGTTCCTTTTTTACACAAGTACCACTCTTTGGATAATTTCTTTCAATATCTCTGCAATATTACTGAAGGCTTAAGCACTACTGCAACTTTAATATTTACAATACATGCAGGCTCAGGTTGTTTGCTGATCTCCGTCAACTCCCACTTCTTGTATAGGCGTAACTCCCACTCCGTCTCCCGCTTTTATCCGTCAACTCCCGCTCCGTCTCCCGCTTTTATCTGGTCCCATATTGATTCAGACACATACCTACCATCCATGATCCATTGGGAGTGATACATTAATTTTAGTATAATGTCAATAATATTACTGCTTTATACTGTATTTTCATTTCTGAGAATTAGAGCCATTAATGATTATGACACAATTTTTTCTGCCGAATTTTAATTTTAGATAAAACAACGCTATACATTTCCATCTCCTGTCCAGTGTCAGATATGATACTATATCATAGATACATGTACATGTACTCATTGATTCATTGACAGTATGTATAGTCAATAGTGGGAGTATACTAATAGAACAATATCAATGAGTAAATATCTTTACATAAAAGGACTTGTAATGAGTACAAATTTCCACTTGATTAGATTCATTCCTTATTAGTCTCACATAGCCAGTCCCTCCCTCTACAAAACAAGGGTCTGGTCTATTACCATACATTGCCTCATTCATCTTTCAACCTTACTTCTGGTGGAACTAAGTACACTAAACATTGAATAATCTCATGTGTATATTATGAAGACTGAAACCTCCTTTTTGGGCCAGGATTAAATATACTAAGCATAATTGACTTTCCTGGAATTTAATTATTTACAAATTGTGTTAGATGATGCATGAAATCCACTAAATTAGGAATATCAGTAAACATTAGTCCAATGTATTGTAGATAGTATAATGTGTTATCATAACAATGTCAGTAATGGGACCCTCATCTAGTAGTGTAGTAGTTTGTATCTCTTCCACTGGGTATTTATGTAATATTGTCACTAGGTGTTCCTCCTCCTACTACCCTAGTCCTAGTCCTACTTATGTGTCCAGTCATAGATACTCAATGATTCAATGTATACTAATACACCAGACACACTCTTTGTAGAGGGAGGGACACTCTCTTTCCTTATAAGGATATACATGTACATGTACTGTATTGCAGGATTTATTGGTGAGGGATTAAATTTGTCAAGTCCTTAAATTACAAGAATACTCCAAATTGAAACTCACAAATTATTGTCAATTATTAGCTGGCACATGTTAGGAGTTAATGAAGTTGCCAAAATTTAATTGGTTGAGAATTTCTTCAAAATTTCTTCCCGTCAATAAATACTCTCATATGTTATACAAGTACATGTAAATGAATGGCTCAGTTGTTTGTGTATTTTCCATTAAAAGTTGTTTTTATATGTACATGTATTGTTTATGTGTTGTTTATGGTCGGTTATTGTCACTGGTTACATATTCTGTGGATTTTGCGTTTGAATGAGATTATGTGATAATGAGACATAGGAGTGATTAATATTACTATTATAATAACTGTTAATAATGCACTCATTCACTTGTTAATACTGTAGGACCAACAGTTATATTATGCGGCTCAAGCTGGTAATCTGGAAGGAATGAGGTCTGCCCTCTCTAATGGGGCAGATATCAATTGGATGAACTCTGGTGGAGTAAGTGTATGATGTAGTGACTAGTGTATTAGTATGACTTGTATAATCTAAAAGTACCTGCAGTTTAGTTATAAATCAGTTTATTATATTAATATTGTGTAATTACCGTATTTCCTCATGGAAGCACCTAGGCATTTATTCTTATAGAGACCCGTTTGCTGGGTGTTTAAATGAAGTAGGTGTTTATATGAGGATAGACATTTAAATTCATTGCCGAGGAGTCTTCTTTTATGAGCTTCCTTCTCAGCTACAACTGCTATGTTGCCTGTAGTGTGTGCCAGTAACCACGTGGGCAAAGTGGGTGTGGCATAGGCATCTAAACAAGCATGGGCATTTATTGTCAATGTTTTATGCTGTCTCTAGGCGTTTATACAGGTATGGGCATTTATTGGGAGTAGGTGTTTCCATGAGGAAATACGGTATGTTCCTCAAACACAGTATCCTATTGATGACACTCATAGTCATTGAATTATTATGCTTGCATTATTAGTTACTGGTTGAAAATACTGTGATTTTATAGGAACTGTATAATAATGGTGTAATAAAATTGATTTTATTTATCATTTTGTATGTACTTTATTTGTTGTGTTTATTTCTTATAGAGTAACAGGACTCCATTACATGCAGCAGCTATCAGTAACAAGGCTGATGCTGTCCAGTGGTTACTTGAGAATGGTGCTGACCTTGAGTCAAGAGATGGTGTGAGTTGTATATTGAATGATACACACATTATTACAACATGATGTAATGTAGTACATGCTAGTTGATAATAAACCAGTTCCAATACATGTTTTTCTTTATATTTATTTGTGTGATATTCCAATATTGTTTATGTATTAGTTTACCTTGCACGTTGTAATTTTTAATGTGATAAAATTTTGTTGTACACATTTTTGTGAGGAGTATACTGTGCCATCATGAATTACATGTATAGTACATGTATTTGAATTATGTGTAAACATGTACATAATACATGTACAAGTAGTATGATCTTTTGATATTTGTGTATAATTACTTTTAGTTTAGAGTGTGTTTTATTTATTTTATTAATGTAGAAATTCAACAATACATGTGTACAATACATTACATTACAATACATTGGCCACACGTTTCATTACAAATTTGATGTTATGTTGCTAGTTTGAATCTTTACCATAAAGTGCAATGTAGCTTAATTACCATATGAGTACAAATGATTTTAATGATTTTGTGACAATATTAAATTCACTAGTAAATTCTCTGTCTCTGTCTTTCTCTGTCTCTTTCTCTGTCTGTCTCCCTTCCTCCCTCTCTCTCTTTCTCTCTGTCTCTAAATTTTTTTCTCTCTGTCTCTGTCTGTCTGTCTGTCTGTCTCCCTTCCTCCATCCGTCCCTCCCTCTCTCTGTCTCTTTGTCACTCTGCCTCTGTGTCTGTATCCCTCCCTCCCTAGCTCTTTCTCTCTCCCTCCCTCCCTCCATCTCTCTCTCTCTCTTTGTCTGTCTCTCTCTGTCTGTCTCTCTCCCTCTGTCCATCCCTCCCCAGGGGCGGATCTAGGGGGGGGGGGTTTGTGGGGTTGCAACCCCTCCAAAACATTCTAACTCAAAAAATTTTTAATGTTTTTATTGTTGCAACAGTGATAGAAGTGCTAACCACCTAGTTTATATAGCAACATTACTGTGGTTAATGAATATAATTAACAAAGAATGAGCTCCAAAAATGGTGGAAAAGTTGATTTTCATGTGATTTTAACCACAGAATGGCGCCAATAAGGAGCGCGGCCAAAATTGCGGCGTGCTTTGCGCGCCATTTTGTCTCTCAGCTCCCCCATTTGCAAAATCCTGGATCTGCCCCTGCTCCCTCTCTCTGTCTCTAAATTTGTCTGTCTCTGTCTCTGTCTCCCTCCCTGTCTCTCTGTCTCTTTGTATGCCTCTGTGTGTTTGTGTGTCTGTCTGTCTCAATCCCTCCCTCCCTCTCTCTCTCTCTGTCTCTAAATTTTTCTCTCTCTGTCTTTGTCACTCTCTGCCTCTGTATGTCTGTATCCCTCCCTCCCTAGCTCTTTCTGTTTCCCTCCCCCTCCCTCTCTCTCTCTCTTTCTGTCTCTTTGTCTCTCTCTGTTTGTCTGTCTGTCTGTTTGTCTCCCTCCCTCCCTCTCTCCCTCTCTCCCTCCCTCCCTTTATGATTTTGTGAAAATATTAATTTCACTGTGTTTAAATTAATTGCCCTAGTTTTTATTAATAATTAAAAGCCATTAAGAAGCAGTCATATAAAAAAATGTCAGTGTTATTTTAAAAACTAAAAACTTCCTCAAATGAGAGAGAAGACATAATTTCATGAATGTAATCCTTTTGTGAGTGGCCCATACTTCTCTACATGCATGCTTTGATGACCTGACCTCTAGTGTGACTGAAACTTTTGTGTTTCTGTGTAAAAATTAATAAATGTTCATTTTGTGTATAACACATTATAATGAGTATTAACATTATTATTATATTAGACTACTACAATACACAACATGATATGACACTTGACTGTGTAGTGTTAGTGTCTTTATTATCCTGTCTTCTTTTTATAGGATGGAGACACTCCTCTCATATGGGCAGCTGCTAATGGTCACACACAGGCCGTGACAATGCTCCTTGAAAAAGGAGCAGATGTAGCTGCCTCTACTAATGTAAGTATAATCATTAATTATACTCCAATAGTGATTGTACATGTATATCCTTTTGAGTGGGTGGATCAAAGTAACCGCAGGTGCTGTATATCTCATACAGTGTGTGTACATGTACATGTATAGCTTAATGTACTCTACTGTATCACTTTATGGAAAGCATTTTTATCAAAATAATTATTTTATGTCACTAATTTTTGAATTTAGTATTGTAAAAAACTTTTTTGGCCTGAAATTTTTAAAAATGTAGTATTAATAAATGAGTAAAAATTTCTTTTTTAATCAAAATTTTAGAATTTAATTTTGGTGCTGATCCTCAAAAATTTTGAGAATATAAAAATTTTGAATTTTAGATGGTATTGACTATTTGATTTTTAATTTTTAAAATTTTGAAAATATAAAAAATAGAGATTCTCAATAATTTTGAATGAAGTTGTTAATTTTTAAAAGTTTCAGATTAAACTTTGCATAATCTAAAAATTACAACTTACTTGGTTTAGCATTTTTGAAAATTTAATGTTTCATAACAATTACATTTCTACATGGTAATACTTTATAATGTTACATGTATAATAGTATAATAATGTCAGATAGACTTACAAGAGGCCAGTGGGCATTGACATTTTCTTTGGTATGGAGGACATACTTAGAATGTAGTTATACTGTGCATGAATATATAATGAGATCCACCCACTCAAATTGATGTAATTATATCACTTACCTACTGGGGCAGTATCTGATTTACAGACACCTCCCACTAGGGCACTATGGTCCCTTGTGGTCAGTGTCTGTATTGACATCAACTTAAATTAATAAATTTTGTGCATTGATGAAGTAACAAAATTTAAGCATCTTGAAATTTTTATTCCAGTCATGAAGGTTTCTCAATCTATACATGTACATGTATAGTAACTGAGTTTATGGCTATAACGAAGAACATTTTATTGATACTGCAACAGTGTAAATATACATGTACGTGTAGAGTAGTAGTATTGTACATGTAATTATTTATATCAGTAAAATGTATACTTGTACACTAAATGTACCTCCACTGTCTACATACTCAATACTATGGTGTATTGAAGACAGACCAACAATTAAAGTTGGTTTTTAGTTTGATTGTGATAACATTGTACTATCATGTTAATCAATGTTTACCTTGTATAGTGGGGTAGGGCTGCTCTTGATTATGCTGAACGTAATGATCATTCTGATACTGCCACAATACTGAGAGTACACTCAGGTAATGTATTTATTAGTTTATTGAACTGATGTTATTATACTGTATGTAGTACTGTATTGTTAGTATATTTAATGAAACAGCTTGAGTCATCAGCTACTGCTTCCTCCTTTACAATGTGAAAAATTAATTTAAATAATAAAAATGTGTCACATGATTATCTGTTGTCCATTCCTTCCCTATTGATGTATGATGTAAGGTGTAGAGGGTCTGGCATGATGGTCAGTACTTGCTCCTTCATAGTAATTGTATGTGATGTCACATGTTAGTATCATTGTTTACCCAATGACTGTAAAACATTAGTAGTGTCATTTTGGTGTCTTATGATGCTTGATCCCTCTCCTATGTTAGAAACCTAACCTTTTGTATTGTTGATACAGTTACAGCATGTACATTCACTATTAGCTTCTTCTATGAATTAAATTGTGTATGAGTTATGTAGCAATAGCTTATAGTGTATAATGTGTATATTAATGCATGGTAGTTGTATCCCACTATTAGGTTACTATTGTTCCTCTTATGTACTCTTATGCATGTACAGTACAGTCCCTCACAGCTGATGTGAGCCACACTGATGTACACAGTACACTTGGTATGTGTACTGGTATGTACTTGTATGTATTGGTAAACTTTGTACATGTTTCATTTCTCAAAAACATGTACATGTACAAAACTATGTCATACCCATTACATGTACATGCATGTGTCTTATTGGTAGGTTGTTTCTCATAATAATGACACATTTAACTTAATTTCTATAGAATCAGTTAAGTACATGTATTGTGAGACTATTCCTGGTCTACATGTACATGTACGTATGATAAACTGGAGAATAAAAAGTGATAGATCCTGAGCAGGTCCTGATAATAATAGCCTAAATTGAACAAGCCTGTACTCATGAGTGATTGAGTGTACATGTAGAAACTAACCTGTGAATAATTCTCTGTTTATGTTTTAGCTGCTAATGAGAATACATGTACATGTACATGTAAGTTGTTTTGATAACACCTTGTCACAATCATAATTGAATCCCATTTCAATACAGCATAATGACTTGTATAATTAATATGTGTACTGTCAATAGTTGAGTATTATGTAGAGCTTTTATATTAATGATACATGTACATCATTCTACATGCATTCTTCAATCATTCAATGATTTATTTATTTAGTTAATGAATGTAGAACATTTCATGGTTCATGTTGTCTTTGTGACCACTCACGTGTCTTGTGTTACAGTGTCTTGTACCATTAATACATGTACATTAATACACTATTACATTACTTATATTACTGGAAAAATAATAAATTATACATGTATACTGCATGAATATAGTGCCATATTATGCATGCGTACATCACAATAATATGAAATTGTAGATTTTAGTTTTATTTTGTACATTTGCGTACAGGCTACATGTACAGAAAAGTATATTATACATGGTACTTGTATCAAAATGTTAAGTTTGCATTATACAGCCCAATATATCCCAATTATAATTACAGCAATGATGCTTATTTACTTTTATAAATGTGTTTGTCTAACAATTTTATGTACAGGTGCATCATGTACAATGTACCATTATATGTACATGTACTGTCATGCATACAATACATGTACATGTTTATATTTTGACTGTCACGTGAGCCCACTCATTAATGAGTACATATCAGTTCCAGTAACACATGTGATTGAGGAAGAAGGAAGCATGAGCTGTCAAATGAAAGGACACACCTCATTGAGGTCAGTGAAGAACTGACAGTCCCACACTCAAGATCAAGTATGGAATGAGAGCATCATAGGAAGAACACATAGCAGGGGACAGACCTCCATCAAGAAGACAGACAACTACTGATAGAGGAATACTTGAAGGAGAGGAGAGAGCTATAGGTATCAACTGAGACGAGAGAGGGAGACAACAGGATCCTGAACAAGACCTGTGGTATGAAGGTGACTGATGCAGGACCTTATACAAACAAGATAAGACAATGGACACTACTAACCTATCGTGTCATCTATCTTGCTCATTCAAGATCATGTTATTGAATCTGAAGTTTTCTACCTTTTCATCACCAACAAACGTCATTCACTCATAGCTTCACCCATTACGTGTCTATGCTCAATTGCTTCATTAAAGTGGTTCTTTACTTATAACACATTATACTGTTTTATACATTTGCTTTTTGTTGCTGGCATGTGTGTCATTGTTTGGTCCTTTGTATTCAGTATTAGTAAGAGTAGGTATTGAATGATAATGTGAAGGTTGCTGATAAGTTTAGCAAATGTTTCCAGTAATAAATACTGGCAGTTGAATACCTGATGCTCTAAAAGATTTTATCTGTTTTAGTTTATTTTGTTCATTGAATGTATAAAATAAAAATAGAAGTTGCATTGC